CCATCTTGCCCCCTCCTCCCCCCCCTCGTCCCGCCCCGCGACGCGACGCGACGCACGGCCAGGCGACGGCGGCCGCGCGGGGACACAAGGGCTCGCGGCGCGGAGGGGAGGGGTCTCAGCCGGGAGAGGCAGAGAAAGGGGGCAGCCTCAACCGGGAAAGGTGGAGGGCAGGGGGATCCTCAACCAGGGCGCAGGTATCCTCAACTGGGGAAGGGGCTCGCAATGGGGCGGAGACAGGGGGCAGTGACCCTGCTTTGAGAGGGGGCAATGAGTCTCAACTGGGAACCGGGGAGGGCAGGGTGGGACCCTCAGCCTGGGAGTTGGCAACAACTTTCGATGGGGCAGAGAAAGAGGAGGAGTGACCCTCCCTGAGAAGGGGGAACGAGTCGCAGCTAGGAAAGGGGGAGGGCTGGGGGGATCCTCAACTGGGAAAAGGATGATCCTCAACTGGGGAGCGGGCATCCTTAACCAGGGAAGGGCCAGCAACTCTCAATGGGGCAGAGCAAGGGAGTGACTCTGCCCTGAGAAGGGGCGATGAGTTTCAACCAGGGAGTGGGGAGGGCACGGCGGTGACCCTCAACCAGGAGAGGGGGGCTATCATTCCCCAGGGCAGGACAGCGATTCCCAACAATGGAGGGGTCAGGCAGAGGGAAGGACAGGTGGATGGGCAGAGGAGACAGATCCCAGCAGGTGATCCTCAACAGAGGAGTCACGACTGTCAGCTGAGGCTAATGATGCTCAACCGGGGAGCCGCAGTGCCTGGGAGCCTACCAAGGGTGTTGCGCCGTGCAAGCACGGTTAGGGGTGCAAACGTGACTTGCAGGATGAAGCGAACTTGGGGTGTGGGAACCATTCGGCCCTGCTGCCTCTTTTGGAGCGCTTTGCAGCAGGCTCTGATCCTGTTTCTGCAGTCGAAGCAGGAGGGAAAGCTCAGAGCTGGCATTTTCTGGCTGGGGGCCTCAAGTCTAAGGTGGTTGAGAGCCACTGATCTAGGGTGGTGTCAATGCTGGGGTGGATTGCTCCGCTGTAGGGGACAGGCCCAGGATTTTGAAAAGCGGGGTGCAGATGCCGTGGTGCTCCCTCACACACAATGCAACACATTTTTCTCCAGTTTAACCAGGAGTATTACTAATATGCGAAGGGCCTAGGGCTGTATTGTTCAGCTGAAGATCAAAGCAAAAACTCTATTGAAATGTGCACTGACTTGCTAGATTACACAGGATGTCCCCAAAGTCAGGAGTCATAGTAATAGAAGGTATAAGGCTCTCTGGCTCCTGACTTTGGGGACACCCTGTATATAAATTGAAATATATACATATAACAAACTAGGCAAAAACAGTCCAAAGATGTTGTGTCGGTATGTTAGTTTTAAAGTTGGGGTGCAACCGCACCCCCCCTGGATCCACCCGGGCAGGCACGCCTCTGCCTGGGATATACGGCCTGCCTGCCTGCCGTCTTGCAGGAGATAAACTCAGGCTGCTACTAGCATTAAGCCTCTGCTTGCCGGCAGTGAAAGCAGCTGCTCCTTTGGCGGGTGCATCCGTGGCACTGCTGCCAGCGTCCAGTCTCCCAGAGGTGACTTGAGAGCACCCTGTGCTCGCGTGGGCAGTTTGGTAAACCCCAGCCCCGCTAGGATGCAGCCGCTTCTGGGCTGGAGCCTGGAGGCCGGCTGACAGCTGTGCTGCACGCTGGTGAAAACAGTATGGCGTTGTCCATCTCAAAGGGCGTGAACCTCTCCGACATCCTGCTCGATCTCTCCTGGCTTTTGGAGCCTTTCCTGGTACTTTCTCAATCTGCTGCATGCCAAAAACTAGCTATTTTCAATGGAAAAGGAACAGCTGGAGAGACCAGGACTCCTGTGGCTGAAACATCCAAAGGGAAAGGACCGCGGGGAGTGGAACGATCTCAGGGTAACCAGACCCTGCAGTTTCCGTAGCCTGCACCATGCACGTGTTACCGGCTGGAAGCCTCTGACTAAGACATGCCAGCCAGGTGCTCTCCCGGCTCCTGCCCTTGGCGCAGCTGCCCACAAAGCTCCTGAACTCAGGCAGTGGCTCCTTTACCCTTGGGAGACTACAGGTCCCGGCATGCATTTCATCTGAGCTGGGTAAGAGCATTGCATGCTGGGACCTGTAGTGTCCGGGGCTGCATCTCTCTTTCTGCTCCAAATTACCCCCATTTTATGTGGCTCAGGTGGAGTCCCCAGACTAGGGTTGCCAATTCTGACTGAAGCTATTCTGGGAGGTTTGTTTTTCCCCCAATGTGACTTAATGTCATTAATTGTACTGGTCAACCCATTCACAATATCAGTCTCCCGGACTGATTTCAATGGTCACCGGGAGATGGATGCCAATTCCGGTAGGCTCCCGGCCAGTCTGGGAGGGTTGGCATTGCAGCCCTACGTGGAGTCCCCAGGGACATGGCTGGGGGTGAGGGTGGCATCCAGCTGAGCAATGTGGAGGAGCCCTGGGCTCGCACGCTCCCTGGGTGGTGTTGGGTTTTGTTACCTGGTATGTCCCCCTGTCTCCAGAGCATCAGGGAGGAAACTTCATTGAAGTGAACGGAGTCTGTGGAGAGATGAATTCAGCCCCGTATCCTCATCGGGGAAGAACCAGTGCAGCTATGGAGTGGGGAGGACGTCAGGCCTCTCCGTTGGCTTGGCATTCGGACCCCAATGGTGCAAATTCACATCCTGAGCCTGCCTCTCTGCTCCTGGCATGCAAATGGGCACTGAACCAATGACAGCAACAATTAAGCCACCCCGTGCTGGCTCTTTTTTGAGGTTTCTGTTCCCATGGAGGTGATAGCTGTCAATCAGAGACTAAGCTCTCTACTGCAATTTGCAGCAGGGGGGAGCAGCGGGGACCAGTAAGCACCCAGTGTCCAGTAAGTGCCCAATGTGCCATGCCAAAGAAGAGAGGACACTGGTCCTCTCTTCTTTGGCATGGCACATTGTTACACTGGACACCAGGTGGAGGAAGGAGAGATCTGAGGCTGCCAGCGTTCACCCCCAAGGACAGGCTTTGGCTTTGAGGACAAACCCCAGGATTTGGCCTGTAAGAGCATTGGGATGAGATGAAATGGGCCCATCTCTC